TTAAAAATTTTTTTTGTCCTTTTTTGATAGTTAAAAATCTCCGAATCCATGCAACTATTCTTACCGCTTTGTGCTATATTTTGATAGATATATTTTTAGTGCTATATTTTGATAGAATTTCTTGAATAATAAAATCAGGTTGATGTTGTGCTAAAATTGTTTTCGATAATTTATTTCTTCGTTTGTTGTATAAGCGATCTTATGCCCTTGATCATTATATGTTGATAGCCAAGTCGGGCTCAGCTACTACAAGGTCTGGGCTTTGAGTTGTGATGCAGTTAGACCATGACTGGCACAGTCGGCTGGGTTTTCTTCCGACTTAACGTACCTTCAGCAGTCAGGTGGCATATTTTCGGTTATTGTACGAACTCTATTTGCCACAAACGTTTTCCATCTGATGGTTCTCCGTTGAGCCACCCCAGTACTACCATGGAGTCAGTCCAACCATATATTTTGATATTGTACCCATTAAGGCACTCTGCGACTTTACCCATTAGCTTTGAGAGGAGTAGTGCTCCGCTCAGTTCCAACCGCGGTAACGAGACTGTCTTGCTAGTTGGTACAAGCCTGGCTCTGCCAGCCACCAATACTACAGATGATTGATTACCTTTGTTGATACGAAAATAGATCACACATGCATAAGCTCTGAGACGAGTCACTGAACCCATGTAGCTCGATACTGTCGCACTCATGGATCTGCAGCCATCGGGGTAATTGAAGGTTTTGAATATTGTGCATGTCCTCTCTGACCTTCTTCCACTCTACATATACTTCATTCGGTATAGGATCATCCCAGTTAATATTATCTGCAGCCCACACTTGTTGAAAAATAATTTTTAACTTAGTTGATAGTGGTGATAGCCAACCGAGCGGGTCAAAAAATTTTGATATGTCTGATAAAAGGTTTCTCTTTGTAACCTTGTTGGAGACTTCCGTCGGTTCTAAATTTTATTGAAACATAAAAACATCCTCTTGTGGATTCCATCTTAACCCAAGGGTTTTCGTTTGCGCTGATAGCTTGAAATCAAAGTTGTCATCCTTTGATAGAGCTGACTCTTCCTCTCTGATCAAGTCATCGCAGTTTGATCTCCATTTCCTCAAATGAAATCCAGCTGATTTTAATAAATTCATAAGGTCTTGCTGTAATTGACGTGCGGTTTTTATATCGTGACAACCATGGACCAGATCATCCATGTAAAAACATGTTGTTTAATACGTCGATCGCCTGACTGTTTTGATAGTTAACTGCTCATCACATGCAAGTTGTTTGAGAGTCATCATCGCTAGGAACGGCGCTGCTTTCGTTCCGTATGTGACCGTGGTAAGTTGATAGTCTTTGATAGGTTCTGAGGGAGAGTCACGCCAAACGATTCTTAATAACTGCTGATCATCGGGGTGGATCCAAATCTGCCCGAACATTTTTTCAATGTCGGCTGTGAACGCAAACTGATATTGTCTCCACTTGATTATGAGAGACTGCAGATCCAGTCGGAGATTAGGACCACATCTCATGACGTCGTTCAAGCTATTCCCGATGATGTTTTACACGAAGCATTAAATACCACTCTAAATTTGGAATTAATGATAGTGTCGTCAGCACGCACACAATGATGAGTTAATACACAATGCCGACGTCCCTGCGTCGGTTTACCGGTAGCTGGAATCATATGTCCGAGGGCGCGGTATTCTTTTATAAATGATTGATATTGATTTTTAATGTTTTCGTGTTTTTTGAGTATGTTTTCTAACGATCTTAATTGAGCGATAGCTTTTAATTTTGATTCTCCCAGCTTATCCGAAAAGTCTGGGGTGAGGGGCAAACGTACTTCGTATCGACCGTCTTCGCGCCTGATAATAATAGACTTGTATCAGTCGATGCACAGTTGATCATCTAATGATAAATGACGTAGATTCTTCTCTGATATCCTCCATCTCCCAGAATTTTTGAATCTCCTTTAAGTCGTTAATGATCACGTTACATTGTAAAGTTTTGACGTTACCGGTTAAAGTCAAAATACAAATTCCTTCCAATAAAATCAAAGAATAAACATCTGCTCCTAACAGAAGGTAGACCGGGCGACTGATGTTAAATTCAGGATCTGCTAACGTGATGTTATTTAAATATGATAATTAAATTTTTGATAAGGCTTTTCATTATGTATACCTCCGGTTCAAATTCAAAATCGTTATTTATAGCTTTGCATTTGAGTCATGACGCCCTTACAATTGCTCTCCTTCGTGCCTACTCCAGATATCACTCCCCTACAACGATGTCGAGGTTGGCCGAGCAACTGAGCCGCATGTTCACTGATGAGAGAAGCTTGGGATCCCTGATCTATTAGAGCACGCACCTTTTTTGTACCTTAAGTATAGCTGTAGCTAAAAGAATTTCAGGCGCATCACATTGCATCGACACGTGTAAGTTGCTTCGTACTTGACCCGAAGTTTCAGGTTTATGGTTGCTGCCATCAGCGAATTATTATAATTATGTGGAAATGATTTATGCAAAATAGAATTATGCGCTTCATTGCACTCTGTACATCTTTTGTCGGAAATACATGGCTTACCATTATGTGAATAAAGGCAATTTTCGCATACATTCAGTCTTTATACAGTTTTAAGCTTTAGGTAAGGTGTCATGTTTAAAAACTGTCGACAGTAAATTCAACTTATAAAATTTCCAAGAAGTATTGTTATAAGCGTTTGAGTTTACAGTGCATCGGAAAGGCTTGTTTATTCAAGTTTCTTTGATACCTATTATTGAAATGTTGCGGCGAATAATTGTTGTTGCTATGTACATTTTTTGCAGAGGTCTCAGGCTTTTTTCGAGAAGATTCTAAGCTTGTAAACTTGCTTTCTAAAAACGATAGAAATTCATGCAAATTAGGTAACTCTCGGGGCTCCTTGACTGCCGCCATGTATTCATTATGCGTGTCAGCATCGAGCTTTTGCGAAAGGAGATGCACAATCAACGAATCCCACGAATCAACGTTAACGCCTAAATTTTTGATAGCGTTTAATGTTTCTAGGGTTGTGTCGTGAATATGCTTTATATGATTTAATGACGTATGTTGCATTACGGGGATATTTAGTAAGATATCGATATGCGAGCGGAAAATTAAGCTTTTATTATTATATCTGTTGTTAAGTATGTCCCAACAGATCGGATAATTATCAGATGATATTGGTAGATGTTGAATAAGTCTCTCCGCTTCACCTCTAACTTTAGTTTTAAGGAATTGCATCCATTGTGCGTTAGATAATGACGAGTTGCCGTGAATAGCTTCCGTGAAGGAACTCCACTGATGGTAGCTACCACTAAATGTAGGTATCTCTACGTGAGGGGTCGATTGCTCTCGATATGATACAGACCACAATTTGCGATTGATGGATTTGATAATCTCGTTGTATTTTCTTTCGTATGTGAAAAATTATAACTCATAATCTGGGTTTCTACACCCAAGCTCACTGTCGGACTCCCAATGCATATTATCAATTAAAGACCAACGCGATTGTATAGCACGTACCTAATAAATGATCGAATTCCCACTTTTCTGATATCGAATCTAAGTTGATATTGGATACTGTGTGTTCGAGTGCCTTAATGCCATAATGAAGAAGATAGATACTTATAAGCCAGTGCTAGTCTACGACAGATAGGACAGTACTCTGTTTGACGATTAGTTCCAAAAATATGCGTAATAGCGCTTATGTCGTAATGTCACCTAATGGTGACCCACAACATACTAGAAGTGTCGATGACGATACGGCAAAGAATATCGATAGCATAATGATGTGCCATAATTTTTTATTGGGTTAATAATATTCGCAAGGTTTATTTTTTCTTTCTTTATGTTCATAGGATACGAATATAACAAAAGGATGTAAAAATAAAACGACTTTAGATATTTGGCAATTTGTTTAGGTGCACACATCTGTCTCACAAGTCTTTCTTGTACACCTCCTTTTAAAATTTTATTTATTATGTTGCACCAATTGTATGGGTATGTGTCATTAAATTAAGCAACCATTCCTTTAATTCAGTTTTATGATGTGTACACCCCAACCAATTTAAATCCAATTTCTTTATTATTTCAATTTTTAAAAGTTTATTTATACATTTTTTGTAAGCATACTTATTTAGGCAATCATGTATAAGGCCCGAGATATCCCTATATAACATTAAAAACTTCTTTGATGGATAAGTTAAATTGTTATATTTTAAAAGGTTGTATTCCCGTTATTCAATCCATTTATGAAATACATCTCTATTTGTTTGGGTATAAGTCTCAGAACATCTCCTACATTTAAATTTTTTGTCACTCTGCACATATACCCTGCTGTATAGGCAGAAGAGTGTACGCGCAATCTTTCATTTACTGGATTTAGTGCCCGATCGCAACTGCTAATGTTTTTGGTCTTTGTTATGGGTCCACTACATATAGCATTTTCTTTATCTTCATCAAATATTGATGAGGAACTCTCATCAACATTGGATGAGGATATGAGTTGCAATAAATCTATTACTGTATCTCCTTTATCATCTTCACAGTTTGCATTTATTGAATGTGGACCCATAACATTTTTTAAATGCATTCATAAAAGTATTTGCATCAGGATTGACATTCCGGTAGTTGATGGCTTTGATCCTACCAAAAAAATTCTCGAGAGGATCCTGATTTACATTTCTAGGATAAAAATATTGTATCTCTCATATTTTTGGAACAGTTTAGACAACCTTTCGAAACTTTCTATAGTTGTAACCCATCCATTAAGAGAAGGATCTCGAACTTTATAGGTTTTGTTATTTTTACGGGCTTTCTTGCTACTTTTATCAACGAATATTAATATTTTTTTAATATTTTTGTTTTGGTTCAGTCCAAAAATTGTAGAGTTGATGGGCGTTGGCTTTATTGGTCCACGCAGTTTTCCCCGGATAGTGCTCCCTCGAGAACCATTCACACTATCAAAGAGCTTATCAATGAATTCTACAACTTCACCTGTTGTGGCCATTGTCTCACTGACATTTTCACCCGAGGTTGTAGTTTCTGAAATATAACATAATTATATAAGTTTTACAGATAAAAGTATACTAAGTTTGTAGCAAATATGTTATAAATAGTCTTAATCTTTATTAATGTATAACGACGGCTTAGGGTGTACGGTAAAACTCAAAAGAGTTTATGTTTACACCTTATTAATTGTTATACTTCTAACTGTATGTGAAAACAAAAATAAATGAAAAAAAAAAGTAAATTAGTAAAGTATATAATTATTACACATAAACAAACAAACAAATACAACAACAGAGTGTCTCTATCCTATTATTATCGGTACATTACTTTGAAATATACACCTTATCAGTCTTCTAGATTGAAACTTAATTATTAAGAATCAAATTCATTCAAATATTACATCTGCCAGTGAGTCCTGTCAAAGTCGGTCTGGCTGTTTCAGAGATTAGTTTGAACAAACAGACCGATAGACATGTGAATTTGATTTATTTATATAGTTTATTATATTATAGCGATTTATTTGTGTAGATTATATGATAATGCACATTGATAACAAAGTAAAAACTTACTGAACGATGCAGTGTATTTAAGCATTCCACTGGTGGTTGCACTCAGAGTTTGGGCAGCTACACTAACTTTCATCTTCTTCAGTTTTGCTGCATAAACATGGTGCTCTGTTAACTTTTTATGCATTCTAGTATGGCCTAGCTGGCAATCAGAGTCAAATACAGTTTCTATATCCTTCCATGTGGCAACTTTGCCTTTGAAAACCATGTCTTTTGTAAGAAGGTTGTTTCTAAGCCCTTTAAGTAAGTGCGGCGGATCATATACCACACTTAACTGTTGTCCTGATATCTCAATAGTTCCATCTGCAAACAAACAAAAATATTATGTTCAACAAGTTAATTTCATGCATTACACACCCAATCTTACTAATTTATAAATGTCAAAGTTTTGATGTATGTTATGCAATTGTAGTTTAACAACTGAACACATTTAGATGAAATTTGGCATACAGATAGACCACAACCTCGACTGACATACAGATGGATATTTTGATATTATAATGATGATGGATATTTTTAATTCCAGATCATTTCCAATGGCTATGCAGACAATATACATGCTAAGGCTATTTATGTTTTTATTTGTAAAGTGAGGTTATCAACTCACTGTTATATTCCTCATTTAAAATCCTTTTATGCTCAGTCTCCATTTTTATTATATTTATGGCTGTTCTAAATGTCGAGCCTTGGTCACACACAATAGCTAAAGGTATGAAATCTGATGCTGACACTTTAGTGACCACTTCCTTTAAAATCCTTACTGCTGTGGCAGCTGCAGTTGTTCCCTCACAAAAAGTAGCGCAGTGGCTGTCTCCAGTTTGAGCACACTCCTTTTAGCATGAACACTAAGGCATGATCGCAAAACCTCAATTCTCTTCCATACCCCAAGTCTTAAAACCTCTTATCTCATCTTGGGACTCAACATAAGTGAGATGAGGTGTAAGACTAACTTCATCAAACAAAATAGAGCACAGTTTCTTTTTTGTGTCCCAATTTTTTGTTTTGTGCTTTAGTACTCAAAAATATTATCATTTAGCCCTACATTGAATATTTTCTTTTCAGCAAGACGGTTTAGTGTTCTTTTATTGGGCAAATTAAATATTTTTTGTAACAACCTATAACCTTTTGGGCTTTCGTTCATTAGAGTCAATGCCAAATGCTTTTCGTTCGTAGTGTATCTCATTGCCTTCTTCTTTCTGTTTGCCACATTTAATTGCATGAGTAGAAAATCTTGGGCTTGTTGTGACATTTTATTAAAATTTTTATTAAACAATTGGCTGCAGCTCGGAGTCTTAGCAGCATCCAATCTTTGCAAAAATGATTTCTGTGACTTGTTTTCCTTAATGGCCATTTTTCTCATTTTTTTTATAAAGCACTTACAGTTTGTGGTCAATTTATTAGCTGTAAAAGAATAATTACATTATTTAGTTCATAAACTGTTATAATATGCATTAACACAGTACTTTTTTAGATTCTATCCACGAAGCAAAACAAGTGTAAAGAATTTTATCATATGTATGATGTTGTACATGACTTATTGTGTTTCTACACAATAAGGCATGAAAAATTTCTTTTCTGAAAGTTTTGAGTACTTTATGTTTCTGCAACTAATATATAGCTATAACTGTGAGATTTGTAAAAAGCTCTTTAAAGTATTTGTTAAAAAAATGTTAGTGTTTTAAATTTACCTCCTCCCCCAATAACAATTTTTATTGGTGTCTTTATTTTTTAAATGAGTTTGCACATTATTAATTTATCAATCATATGTCAATGCTTAAATATTTAAAAATTTGGTGGCTCTGATCAGAATAAATTCCTACATAGTCAAATAATATAACATTGTAATTTTTACATATAATTTATTAATAATTTTTACAGACGCCTAGGTTTTGTCCTACGCAATGCCCGTGATTTCAATAATCCTATTGTCATCAAATTATTATTTAACTGTCTAGTTAGCAGTAAGTTAGAATTTGCTGCAGCCGTCTGGAATCCTCACGAATCCACATATGAATTGTTGATTGAAAAGGTTCAGAAAGCCTTCCTGCGTTTTTCGCTCTTCTTGTTTGGAATGTTAGGATATAATTCCCTTTCAGTGCGTAGAGCCAGAGATCAGATCCTAATAGCCATAAAATTTTAAGGAGCATGGTAGATTCCCCAGAGCTGCACAATACTTTGTGTACACTTTATGTACCTAAAAACTACCCGCGTCATAGGCCTACTCGACGACACCGGCTGTTCGCCACATCCCATTGCCGCACTGTGTCGTGCGCGCAATCCCCGTTGTGTCGCATGCATGGTGCTTTAAACTCCTTAATGGAGACAGTCCCGGAATGTGACATCTTTAATGACACACTCAAGGTGATCATGTCAAACTGTCTCATGTTATGTGAAAGCCATGTCTGTTAGGTAAATAAGTTGTATGTTTTTATCACTTTATTCTGTTTTATATTATTTTATTTCCTCTAGTTATTGTTAAGTATGTTCGATCTCTGACTTGTTATTTGTTTTTGAATTATGTTATATGTTTAGTTTTACCTATTAATTACTGTCATTGGCGAAAGCCGTTGTAATAACATTCAAAGTTGTTAAAAATTATTACCAGCATTGAGAAAAGAAGATGCAGAAGGATTTGTAGCTAATCTTGAATATATATGATCAACTGGATGTTCTAAAACGAGAAAAGGCTATATTAGAAAATAGTACCTACATACATTATATATACCAAAGTATAAGTAAGATTGAAAAATGAATATTTTTACCTTGGGCAACCACTGGATTTTCCACTATTTCCGCAATGTCTTCTTTTTTACAGTAGTTATGGTCATATAAATGATCACCTGAAAATAACCAAATGAAATAATTTGAATAAAGAAGAATAGCTATTCAAGCATATTACAGAAAATGTTGTTTATAAATTCATTTACTCTATAACCTAATAAAATTTAGGATTTTTATTAATCTGGTTAGTAATACTTATTTATATCAATGAAAGTTTATTGAAACTTCATCTGACATCTTACAAGAAATATGTAGTCAAATAATGCTGAATTTGTACTATTGTTGTATAATTTAAAATATATCATGAAAAGCCAGAATATATTGACAAAAATACACCCAGTATTAAATAATTTTAATAAAGAAGAATAACTATCAGAGCATATTTATTTTCTACTAAAATCGAGAGAAATTCTTCATCATACTTATACATGTATTATGTATGCCCCATTCTATATTCATGGAAAACTAAAACATGTAATCATAGATTACTGTATATATACTAGAGACATGTAATTTTGAGTACATTAGTTGAGTAACAATGCCAATATATTATGAAAAGCAGCCAAATGAAAAATCGCCGCATAAGTTGACACACCATGTTACTCAAAACGATTAACCTTTAAAAAAGAGCAAAAATAACATTTTGAATGAAAAGTGATCCAGCACAGCTATAATTTACAAGTATACCTATTAATATTCAGAGCTAATGCACTTACCAGTTAAAGGAACCTCATGCTCGACTTCTTCAGTAGACAACAGGCATGGATAACCACCTTTGAGACGATTACCCTTATCATCCAGTTGGTATTTGTCGAAGTGTTTTGGCACAACACGTTTATTCACTAACTGATCTTTTGAAAGACCAAGAGGTTCGGAATTCACTGGCACCAAAAACGATAGCCACAAAACCCTTAGTTTATCGTCCTTTGACGCCCTTTGTCCTTTGTAAGGTAGGTTCCTTTTATGGCATAGAGATCAGTTAAGAAACGGTTTTGAGAAAATCTATCCCTAAGGGAGTGAAATGGGAGTTGGAAGTTTGTATGAAAGTCCTACGTTTTTGAAGTTAGACACCAAAATCGGCATTAAAGTTATAAGTTTTCAATAATAAAATCCTGAATAAGCTGTTTTACGAAATCCTAACCCTAAGGGGGTGAAATTGGGGTAAAATGGTTACATGCAAGTTCTATATTTTTAAAGTATAATATGAAGATCGACATTTACTTTATTAGTTTTAAATAATAAATACTTGCATAGTTAAGCTTTACCTATATAGCCTCTTTATACTTAGGTAAGACTTCTGCAGCGAGAAAATTTCAAAATCTTCTTCTTTCTCTTTATTCTTTTTTTTTTTCATTTTTATTTCAACTTTTTTATGTTGGCATAATTTACACAAAGCAATTTGGGATGCATGAATTATGTCGAAAAACTCATCAAATTTACTTTTAGGTCTTTTAGATCTATAACTCCAACTCTCACTACTCCGACTAGAACTATTCGACTCTTCGTCACTCATGCCAAATTGGAAACTTATCAAAATGAGTATTGTTGGTTGAAGTACAACCGACAACACAGCACTTGATAGGAGCCATGGCTGCGGACCAAAGCACCAGAGCACTGCAATATAATTCGTATCGAGCAATGAACTTGGAATTATATCTCAACTCAAGCAATAAAGCGAGGACCAAGGAGAAGTTCTCTTCAGAGCTCGTGTTCTGCCGGTTTATGTTCTCCAGGAGAATATAAAACGACAGAACACGAGCTACGACACGAATCTCTGACTAGTATATAGTTATCTGTGGACACGAATAGGAGTGGTCGTTACAAAACGTAACTAGTTACTGAAACTATCTATTCACACAATAGCGGGTAGCGGGTTATTGCAGTGCAACGAAACTATCTATTACAGTAGTGTGTTTTACTCAGTAACACGATTCCCGTTTCACGAATTACGAACGAGCGATCAGTAATAATAACAAAACGTTTATTCGGCTATTTTCGCGACGCATCGGCGACGGCTTCGGCTGTTGAAGTAGAAGCACATGAGTAAAGAAACCGACTCTTTACGCTGTGGTGGAAGTACCACCGGTCGTCGAATGTCGAGTGAGCGCGGGTGCTTTTGCATTTGACCTATGACTCTATTCCCTTCGTATAGATGCGATATTAGAAATGAGAAAGTAAGTGTGCATGTTTTTAACAAAAAATAGTTCAAATTCCATTATTTAAGTGGCCTTGGCCCGGTTTATATTAGTCTTGTGTTTAAGTTTAATGACACGGTTTGTTTTTACTTTTTAGGCGCGTTTGTTAATATTAAGCTATTGCATAGCTTCTATCGCGGGCCTTGAGCGCGGGGACCGAATCCAGAAATTCCGTAACGAAAAAAAACCTCACGCTCCCCACTCCGACGGGCACGGAGGTGTGGCTTGAAGGCCGTGCATTATCTAACGTCGTTTCTTTTCGGTAGACTTCGACACGGTGTTGATAAATATTCCTGAATAACCAACACCTACTGTAAGATAATAAAACCCACATGTATTGTAAAATAATAAAAATATTTTAAACAACATTAACTTTTTATTTATTTAAGAAATGAAAAAAAATGTTTTCTTATCGGTCACCACGCTCAAAAAGTGTAACTTGAATTAATATAAAAGAAAAAGAAATACTGCATAAATAAAATAGGTAAATAAAATATAATTATAATTGCATAAATTGATACAAAATGCTATGCAATAGCTTTACCGCGGCAGTCCCCGAGTGCCACACGTCTTTTTTTTTGTTTTCTTTTTGTTCAATAATAATAATATTTTTAGTAAAATAAGAACTAAATAAAATTGTATATATTAGTGTTAATAATAATAATTGTACAGTAATTAGTGTAAGTAACTAAGTGTAAAAATAATACTAATACTTTATGTGATAGTTATCAAAAATATCTCGAAGTAATGCCAGTGTACTTTGGAACTTTTTTACAAAAGATACTATAACCATGAAGGCTAATATTCTATAAAAACATTTATTACATAAAAATGTAGGCTTGAGATGTCTAAAAATAAGCATTGTAATAATTATTTGCTATAAAATCAAACTTATATTCAATATTTTATGCTGAACTTGTGGGTCAATTTATCATAATCATAATTATTAAATAAATCGTTTGCCGTTAAATCTTTTCAAGTGATATTTTTATCGAACCGTGCGAAATGATTAAACAAATAAATAAATTTAACCATTAACATCATGTCGAATTCTATACGAAACGGTAACAAACAAGTTTTCTCGGACGGACATCGTTTCATTATTGAAGCCGAAACACTATTGAAGTTGAAGCCGCTATTTTTATTTTATTTTATTTATTTATTTAACATATTATACATGATAAAAAGGATATAATATGGTACAACATAAACTTAATGAAAAACTTTACCGTGTACCACAGACCACCGACATAATTTTTTTTTAAATATGAGCTACACCTTAATCTACAAAGATATGTTTAACGCAACACTATTGAACACTAAACAGCAATTGGCACGGTCAACACGCGGTAAATCGGCAATACATACGTAGTTACCTCATAGTGAACAAGAAAGGTGTGAGTCTTGCCACCGCCCACTTCACTGCGTCAAAAACCGGTCGTTCCTGCGTTGCGTATACAGGAGGTATCAATTAGTTAGTTACTTAATATTAAATTATTTAATAGTAAACGAATATAATGATTATTCTTAGGTTGTATATCATATAGGTAAATATAAGAAATATAGTTAGTGGGGATTATAGTATTTAATTTTATTATTTTTTAAGTCTGAAGTCTGATATATACAGTTCGTATAATAGTTTTTTAATTTGTGTTTAATATTTTTATGATTAATTTCATTTTGAAAAGATATTGGTAAATGATTAATTAAATTCGGAACCATGTATTCTAAAGTATGTTTTCCGTATAAATTATTATAATTAGGTTTATCTAATTTTGGTTTGGCCGCACTGCGGGTTTTAGAAGAGAAGCCAAAGAGACTTTTGCACCGATATAATTTTGCAGTAATCGAATAGGTTATGGTAATCGGAATCCCTGTGTAAGTTTTTAATTTGGTCTGGGACTATAGTTTTTAAGATGCGAAGTTGCAATGAATAAATGTTATCTAAATGTGATTTGTAAGTTCGCCCATAACTAGACAAGCCATATGAAATTTTAGATTCAGCCAGTGATTTATATAATTGTAACAGAATTCTATAAGGGACTTTATACTTAATTATGGAGAATTTTGCTATATGCTTCGAAGTCTATTACACACATCCTCAATATGATGTTTCCAGTTGAGTCGACTATCTATTATAGGTCCTAAGTAAGTTTGAGTTTCTACCGGCTCTAATTCTGCACAATGACAATTGAGAGTCCATTGTCCTTTGTGAAGGCATAGGTGGTCGTGCATGATAATGCTACTAGGTATTACTTTACTCCTATTGTGACTTGAACTTATATACATAAGCTTGGTCTTGTTAGCATTGATAACTAATCCTTTATCGTGAGACCATTGTGTTAATATATTAAGTTCTTCTTGCAGAATGCGGCCAGTTTCGTTAATATTTTCGCCTGCTGCAACGAGGCACGTATCCTCGGCATGCTGGTATATTTCGCAACGTCTGATGATGTTTGCCAGACCATTAACATAGGTGATGTAATGCAATGGTCCAATTACAGAGCCTTGTGCAGTGCCTACCGAAGAGTTAACATAATAACTAATGGCATCTCCCACTTTTACCGCATATTTTCTGTCATTAAGGTAATCTCTGCACCATGATAATAAAGGTCCTCTGATACCACTATCATTAAGACTGTCTATTAGCTTGTTATGATTAAGTGTATCAAACGCTTTAGTATAGTCTACAAAGATTACCAAGACGTGTCTTTTATTATCTAAATGTTTGTAAACGCTGTTAGTGAAGGTCGATAACAGTTGAGTGGTATTTTTCTTTGGTTGAAATCCATACTGTTTTTCCGTTGTTATGTTGTTTTTAGCGTAGAAGTCATAAACCTGTCTGCAGATGTATTTTTCAGCAATTTTATCTATAACGGGTAAAATAGTAATTGGCCTATAGTTGTCATGCACCATAGGGCTACCCTTCTTATAGATAGGTCTAACTATGCCAGTTTTTAAAATATGGGGATACTTTCCACTAAAATTAAATAGTGTTTCAAAACCCTCTATTAATATAGAGTGTTTCAAAAGCCGCTATTGATATTCGATAGATAATTTCGTTTCGTTACTCAAAAAAGCCGCTACTACCCACCGCTAGACACGAATGACGGAAAAGAAAATAACCTGCTGTCAGTTTGACAGGTATGCACATCGGCAAAATGGCTGCCAGCAACATGGCCGTAGACAGAGAAAACATGGCTACCGACAGTAGCGCCATAACGCATTTTTTGGTACTAAAGCCACAGAGTACTTTGAATAATCAGAAAACTAAAGCTGTGACTAAAGCTGTCGCAGGCCTGATAACTGTTGCAGTTACATTTCTTAGCGGGAAAGTTAGAAAGACTTGTTAAGGCTTGGTTTTAAAATTATCAGAATGTTTTATCCTGTTAATTCCTTAAAACGGGAAGGGATGTTTTATTTATGTTGGCTGACAGATACGAGGCCGCTGCGATTTGCGACTATTACTCACAGGCAGTTGTGCTCTCAGAATATTCGACAAATATGGTAAGTAAATTTTTTATATTTTTAATTCTTTTATCCGTACCCAATTACCGTACCAATGGTAAAACATATCGTCTCGTGAGTGTCGTAAGAGGCGGCAGAGGGAAACTGGAACAGGAGATGGACAGCTGCACCTTCCCGATAACAACTCTAAATAGTAAATAAAGCTACCTAAGCGTGGCAACTTTGGCAAAATCCCCCCTTTGA